GAGGGGATGGCCACGCCGCAATCCCTTCTCCTCTATTCTCCTCTTGGGATCTTGGGCACGCACGCACACGCGCCCGGCGTGGGTTTTAAGCCACCGGGTCCGGGACGTGAACCGCGGTCGACTACGTGGGAGTCCAGCGACATAGCCATTACGCTAACTGCTGGTTCCCTCATGTTTCAAAATTTTTACAGCAGCCCTATGACATAGATCTTTTAAAAAGTAATTCGTTTATTTAATTTTATTTATTATTTTAACAAGAATTATTTACTTATTTTATTTGTTAATTATGTTTTTTAAAATAATTATTTTGTTTAACATTTATTTATTTATTTATTTTAATTTGACCAGAGAGGGACAGAGTGAAAGAGAGCAAGAGAAACAGAGAGTGAGAAAGCCAGCCGCCAGGTCTGGGACCCGAACCTTTGGCCATGTGGGAGTCCAGTGCCCTTAGCCAGGCACCACCTGCTGACCCCTATTATTACTATTTTTCTATTTGACCAGATATATAGAGAGAAAGTGAGAAAGCAAACCGCCAGATCCAGGACTCCAATTGCAGCTGGCCACGTGTGGGCCTGGCACCTTAACCACCATGCACCTGCTGGTCCCGTGACATATCTTATCCCACTTACAGATAGAAAACTGAGGGCAAATTTGAGTACCTTGCATCAGGTCACAAGAGTGGTAAACAGGACCGTGGTCTGTCTCCCTAAGGCCTATGCCCTTGACTTCCCGCAGACCAAAGCCTCCCCGAGAGAGGTCAAGGCTGTCCCGAGGACCTTCCCTTCAGTGGGCGCCTGCGGAGGTGAGGAGACTACTGCTTGGTCCTCAGCCCCCGTCCCGATGGGCGCTGACCTGCAGGTGCGTGCTGGGGCCGGCTTGCACGCTCATGGGACTGACTTATCTCATCACTGCCCAAGTCCATGTTCAGGGATGTTACCTTGACGGCTCGCAATCAGTCTCAGTGGGGTATTTGCACCGTAAAATGAGCACATGTTGTAGATCAGGGCTTCGTTTTCTCAGAGAGCTGGCGGTTAACCCTTTACCAGCACATCATTGGTTAACTGATTTTATTACTTTTTTTGGTATTGTTTTGCTGTGGACCAGTGAATAAGAACCATCTGGAAGACCTGTACACCTGTTAAAACGCAGACTATGGCCAGCAGATGGCGTGGAGGCCAAGGCTGCTGGACCCTGCATGACTGACTGCAGGGTTTGCATCCCAGACCTGGCAGCTGACAGTGCACACGAGGCGCCTGTGCATGCCCCAAATCCCAAGAGGGCAATGGAGGGGAGGCGATTTCAGCATGGCCATCCCTCCTGGAGGGGGATCTCTCACTTTGCCTCTCCTTCACTGCCTGTCTCTGTCTCCAGTGAGCGCACACACCCTGTAACCAGTGAGGCCGAGAGGGGTGAAAGAGCATGCCCAGCTCATGGGGGAAGAGCAGCCTCCAAGACAGTCCTGACTCTGCGTAGGCTCTCATCACGTGACCTAGAGCACCACGGGCTGGAGACAGACTTACCTGGGGTGGGCCTGCCTGCCTGGCTCTGCATGTGGGGGTCTCAGGACAACTCGCAGCGTCTACACCCAAGCTGCCTCTCTGGGGAAGATATGGCCCGCAGAGGCGGTGACTCCATGCCAGGTAGGGGCTGGGAATGGCTATTCTCTGAGGGCCTAGCCTGAACTCGTGCGCCCCAGCTGAGCGCTGGCACCTTTCCCCTCTGTGGGATGGGGTGTGGGTGGGGAGCCAGGAGACTCACCTGTTCTTCCCACTCCAGATGCTGTGGGTCACCATCAGCACGATGTACGCGACCCCTCCGAGCAGGCCCGGCAGGCCGAAGGTGTAGTGCACGCCGCAGCTGTCGTGGATGCCCAGCACGCGATTGAGACACACCTGGGAACACACGCCAGGCTGAGCAGACTGCAGCAAGACCCACAGTGCCTGCCACCTTTTCCACGGGTCTGGGCACCCAGGGCCCCCGAAGGGGCGGGCCACGCAAAGACGCGCTTCTCCAGCCTCAGTGTGCACACGCATCACCTGGGGGCTTGTTAACTGCACAGCTGGGCTTGGCGGGCGCGGCGTGGGGCCTGCAGCCTGCGGGCCTGCCTCTCTAATGAGGCCGTGGCACACGCC